GAGAGTCTGGACTTGTTGATGAGATTGCAATTGGAAGGTTTTCTTGATATAACAAAGGTGTGTTGGTGGAGTGTGTTTGGTGCTCAGAAAGTTTTTTTTCAATGATTTGAGTAAAATTTGAACAAACAATAGAAAAAGGATGGAATGACCAAGGGGAAATCGTAGGAATAAGAACATCCATAAATTGGGTTGAGTTATAGAAAACATTCTTTTTGAATCGAAGGATGATGTATCCAGTTTTAGTAACTTCTTTTGATATAATTTTAGCTGGAAAAATGAAATGTAGAAAACGTAATAGAACATCAAAGAGATATAATGAAAGTGGGATAAATAAATAATAATAATAGTCATGAGTAAAAGCCTTAACATGATAAATATAAGTTGGAATAATACAACAAAAACAAATAATATGAATTTTATGAAATATATTGTAAAATTTTCTTCTTATGAACACAGTCAATACTAAAATAACAATAAAACCAAAACAAAGAATTCCATTTTTGTAGGAGGCTGAACTCAGTTTTAATCCACCTAATATACACCCAATAATATCACAAAACGAATGAATGATAGCAAATATACCAAATAACCAACCACTAATTTTATGAAGCATTAATATATCTTGAAAGGTTGTTCCAAAAATACTAATAAAACTTATATTATTCTTTGGTAATGGAAGTAAAAGGAGACAGAATAATATAGGGAGTGGTCTTCTAAAAACACTTCCTATTTTAAAAAAAATAGAAGCTGTTTCACTTTTAATATTATCAAACCATGAGGGCATATCCTTAACGCCATAAATCATTGAAAGAATAGTAAAAATAAGTAAAGTAAATGTAAAGATATATTCACGTACACTAAACCATAAAAATCTATATAATGTATATTTATTAGAGAATACAGTAAATAAGGTAAAAGGAATTGATTTGGCCTTTATAGGGTATGTTTGAATAATTGGATTAGTAACGTTACCAACAGAATCTCCTGTAATGAAACGAATCATGGACTGTGTGATAAAAATTAAGATCATTTAAATTTATTTTTGATAAAAGAACTAAAGTAGAATCAAAAAAAAAATTCCAAAAGTATGACTCACTAGTTCTTCAATCAAATAATTTTAAATTTTTTAAAACTTCAATATAATTTCAATAGGGTAAAAACAAAAATAAAAATCTTATTATTTTTTAATAATTCTTCTTTTTGACTCAATTAAAACTGAAATAATTCTTTTCCTTTTTGTAAAATAACTAATTCTTCATCATTTGGTGCAACACAAACTTGAACTTTGCTTGAAGGTGTTGTGAGAAATTCAATTTTTTTCCCCATTGACTTTTCATTTAAAGAATTATCAAGTTCTATTCCAAGGAATTTCATTTTATCACAAATAGCTTTACGTACTTGCCAAACTTCTAATCCCATTTGATCAGTAAATACTAAAAGATCTAACCCTCTAATTTCTACCATTAATCCTCCAATAGTTTTAGCCAATTGCTTGATATAAACATCAAATGCTAATTGACATGTTTTGGCTTTTGGACCTTTAATTTCTATTTCATGTAAAATATCTCTCATATCACTAGACAATTCACTAACTCCAAGTAGTCCACTTCTCTTATTTAAAATATCAACAACTCTCTCTACTCCAACTTGTTGAATCATATCAATTGGTATCGTTGGATCAATGTCACCACATCTAGTTGACATAACAAGACCTGCAAGAGTAGAATTTCCCATCGAAGTATCAAACGATTTTCCATTAACAATACCACAACAACTAGAACCTCCAGTTCCAAGGTGACAAGCAATAATTTTAGAATGACTAACATCAATAACATTTTTTAATGAATTAATAACATACTCATAACTTAGTCCATGAAAACCAAATTTAAGGTATTGACTTTGATATGGTTGTGGAATGGCATACGTTCTTTCTGCTTGTGATATAGTTGAGTGAAATGCAGTATCAATTGCAACATATTGTTTAGTTGTTGGGAGCTCTTTCATAGATACTTCAATAACACTAAAACTTGATGGGTTATGAATTGGAGCCAATGGTAAACATTCTTTAAGTTCTTTTAATACAGCCTCATCAATAATAGCTGATCTTTTAAAATAAGAACCTCCGTGTACAAATCTATGACCTACAAAAGCAATTGAAACATGATTTTCTTTTAAAAACTGAATAATAAATTCAGCTGCTTGTTGGTGGTTTAGTGTTGGAGTTTCAACTTTAATTACTTTTCCATTTAAGTGATGTTCAATAAATGGTTTTGTTGTTCCTGTAACATTTACCCTATTAGCTTTACCACTACAGACAATTTTATCAGAGCAAAATACTTTGTAAGTTAATGAAGAACTCCCAACGTTAAATATTAGCACGTTAGACATCAAAATTGAATGACATCAATGAGTTATAAAATTATTAAAAAATAAAAAGTTAAAAAAAAAAGAAAAACAAAAGAAAAAAGAATTAAATAAGTAATAATAGAATTTGTATTTATTATTCTTACTTCACCAGAGAATAATCCTATCAATATGTATTCTTCATATACTTCTACAGTGTATGTTTGATTGTGGTGGATGCAATATTCAATGACATCCATCATATTCTTAATTACATGCTTTTTAATTTCTTTAATGTTGTAAATTTTGATTTTTAATTATTTAATTATTTTAATATTTTCTATATTTATTAATTAATTTATTCAAATTATTGTATTTATTTTGATATCTTTTATTTTCTTTATTTTAATTATCATATTCTTCATTTATTTATACTTATTCTTTTTATTCAAATATCCATTAATATTATGATCTTTAATAATAATAATATCAAATAATATACCAATTTTACTTTTTTTTTATCTATCACAATATATCTAATATTTTATGATATTGTAATTCACTTTTTGATATTATTTGTTTGTTCAATATCATAGTAATATCATTATATTGGAACACTGTTTCATTTATTGATTATTTTATGTGTATTTTCTTATTATCTAATATTATAATACAAATATTATCATGTTTCTCAATTTATGATTTATTATGACAAAGACAAGATAATAGAAAATGTTCTATTATTGATAAATTGTATTTACAAAGTGTGATAGTATTTTAATCATTTGTAATATTTTATCTTTCTGTATACACTGAATATTACTCCTTCTAGTATTTTAGTTAATTGGATAAATGAATTCTTTTTAATATTGATTGAATTCAATGTATTGATTATAGTAGTTTTATCTACAATTTTTTAACTTAATCCATATTCTAAAATAGCCATTTATTTGATTTCAATTTATTATATT